TACCGCGATCTCGCCCACAGGAAGCCGCGACCGCGTGGCAGCAGGGCAAATGGATGCGGATCCGGTTCGTAGCTCAAGGCAGAGTTCGCATGTCAAGATAAATTTTTGGGGCCGGAGCTGGTCGTATCTTGAAAAATTCATAACTAGAGGTGTTCGTAACTAGAGGTACCACTGTATACCCAAAATGCATCCCTGTCTTCTAGATATTGGGAAAGATTTGCAGGAAGAAATTTAATTCCTGCTTCAATGGATTGTTGTCCTGTTCTAACAGAAAGTTTAGGAAGCTCTTTCCAAATACAGGAATATAATGTACAAAGGCATTCAAGGGCTTTCTTCTATACTATCATCTGGAAAAGACAGTCAGACTATCAGAGGTAATTCAGTTGTGCTTTTAGCATCTATGCTGTACTCTCTGTTAATACTGTTTTTTATTGCTTTTACATGTTGTTAGCTGCATTTGAGAGACGGGTAGCCAAATAAATTGATTAAATAAATAAATAGATGTGCTATTTTTAAAAAGACATGTACAGTCGTGTTTCTGCTGTTGTTCTCTTGACAACATGCCTGATGTTAACATGCTATGAATTGTCAGTTATGGTTTCTGAGTTCAGAAGACACTTATGTACAAAGTAGGAAAAACTTACAGGAAGGTTTCACTGTGATATACATAACTGCTTATATCCTGTAAACCTGGCAGAATATGGGATGTTTGTCATCCCCACCCCCATAAAGTTGCTAAGAGCTAAATCTGCTGAGGATTTTACAGGCAGTAATTTTTGTCAGTAGAGGCACTGTAGCAATAGTCTTAGCTGTGATGATGGTGGCGTCTTTTAAATATCGTTGCCTGTTCGTCCTGAGCTGGCAGTATAGAGGCAAAACTCCTTCCAGTAATAATAGTCCATAGTTCAGCTTTTGGGTGACTTACAGAACAAAGCTGATATACTGAAGGGGGCTGATGCATTCTGTTTCATACCCAAGAGTATGTATTTGGCATACAAGCTCATGTTTAAATCTTTGGTGAAATGCTACAGGCCTGCTGCATTCAAAATACACCAGTCTTCCCTGCCTTGGTGCCCTCCATATAGTGGATGTCACCTTTCATTACTTTTGAATTGAAGACCAGTACATTTGGAGGGCACCATTTTGAGAAAGCTAAGGTAAAGTCTCCTATGATGTGAACTCAACACTGGTGACTTAGGAAAACTAGGCAATAAGGATGGATCAAAGCCCTGATACTCTATATAAGGCAACTCTCTAAGTTTAGTGATTTGAATGTGTTGTACAGCTGCTGGTAGCACCAGTGCAAAGCATTTGGATGTCTTCCATGGCCCTTGACTCACCAGCTTTATACCCTGCTAAGCAAACACACATTGCTGCTGGGTTGTTTCTCCATGGCTTTCATTAAGTTAATACTCCAGCTTTTTAAAATAGAAGAGATTTTCTCTTTATCTCTGTTGTTCACATGCATTGATTTGTGCTCTACAAGAAGTGAATGCTGCGATTTTCTTTGGTGTAGGGCTGTCTTATCTTAAGAGTAAGCTTGGTGGGTGCCAACGGTTAAAAATAGTTTCTGTCCATGTGACCCCAGCCCAGAGGAAGATGTACTTTGCAAGTCAGTTGTACACAGCATCCAGGCCTTTTCCAAATGGCTACATGGCAAAATAAAAGTTCAGTATCAGACTGAAATAGCCAATATTTCAAACAATTGGAGTCTTGCTCTAAAAGGTATGTACAACTGTACTTTTTACTGGGCACTTGGAGCTCTCAGTCCATTGACCCTTAAAATAACTTTATTGCCTGGAAGGAGAAGCCCTGGCATCAGAACCCTCTAGGAAATGTTTGGCTATTATAAATAATGAGTGCCTTTATGCTATTAATAAAGACTTAGTTGTATTTTCCAGTTAGCAACCTAAAAATAGAGTTATGCTTAGTGTGAAATTTCAGTGATAGCATTTTAAGGAAAGTGCCATTAATATTTGAGCAGAAAATGTATGCTAGAGTCTTCTGATCTGTTCAGATGAAACCCAGGATTGGGGACATAAATTGTTTATTGTAGGGATCAATGCACATGTTTTAAAAATACATCTTCACAGTGCCTAGTTGGCTAGAAACTGGAAGTAAGTTCAGATTTCAAAGGTTCACATTTCTTCAATAATTACCAGTTTGTTCAGATTTTTTCTTTCCTTTCTAGAATTAGGCTTGTGCCTCAGTTTGCATAGTTAGACATAAACAAATTGGATAACCTTGTTGATTTTTCAGAAGGCTGCAAGGAGGACAGAATTTATTTTATGTCAACATATCTCTATATGTATGTGGCTCTACTTTTTTGGTGGAGACAAAGTAGCCTGAAAGAAAGAAAAAATGGAGGATTGATATGAACTCCACTTTTCCAAACAAGAGTGTCACTCCAATCTTTCCTGCATGTTCCCTATCACTGGAGAGTATTCCCTAGGCCATTTCCTTTTTTTAGACCACTGCATTGTCACTAAAGGATTTGAAAATCAACATGTAAGCCAAAGACTGTCAACGAAGCTCTTATAGGCATAATGGCTTCCATCATGCCAGATGATGTCTGTGGAACCCACAAAGTACATACAAAATAAATACGTTGATTTAAAAAAATGATCAAAATTTCATGAGCTCACCAAATCTCATGCAGTGTTAGTGTTCCTAATAAATGAAATGTTTGTGAGTGTTGATTAATCTTTTTTTAATCTGCTTTGTTGGCCGCTTTCAGTCATATAAAAATCATTTTTTGAATCTACAAGTAGATGCACAAAAATGCATTGTTTTGACACTGATCAAGTTGTCATCACCAAGCAAGTACAGAATAAAGGTCAGTTAACTCTAGATAGGTTATGTGGTTGGTCCTTAATTGAGGTGTCACATGGAAGATAAAGCACAGGAAAATAACACTTTAAAAGCCTTCAAGAAAATAACTATACCATCCCCCCCCCCCGACACCCTTGGACATTTCATCTGGAAATGAAAATGCCAAAACCTCAAAAAACAAACAAGAATACATTGTGAAGCTACTATACCTTATAATGGGATATACATGGAGAAGATCAGGATAATTAGCCAAAAGTACGTTATCCACCTAATAATGATGAGTCAGGATACAATATGACAATAGCTGAATTAAGTAGCATCCAAAACACTGAAGTAGCTGGAACAACACATTTTTATCAATCCCCACGATACCCGCAAGGAAATATACATAGCCTAAGCAAGGCGGTTGTGGAAGACCAATTTTGCAGGATATCAGAATGAATTAAAAAATCAATTTACCCCCAAAAAGTAGAATCACTGAACTTTGCATAAGGAGCTGCTGCACTCCACACTGGGAAAACATGGAAGTCATAGCCTGTGTAAACAAAAAATACAAAGTAAGTTCCAAAAAGCAATAAAAATGGAAATAACTACCTCAAAAAAGGTTTGGAGAAAAGAGTACTAAACTTGGACAGACATGGAATGCAGAATTCCTTAGATAATTCAGGAGTAATCATGTAACCTCAAGGAAAGACCAGTTGTATGACCCATCTACAGTTAACTAACCATTATTTTGTACCTGACTGATAACTGACTGATTGTCAGAATGTTACATTTTGTATGCTAATGTTATACACTAAAACAATGATTTTTATGAGACTGAAAATGACCAACAAAGCCAATTTAAATAAGAATTTGGTGTTTCTACTTGAGATCTTGTGAGATCTTAGATGAGAATGCTAAAATCTTCTGGAATGTAATGTTCTTGTGATTCTTTGGCCATATATTAAATTAATTAATTTATCCATACTAAAGACTCTATACTGTATTATTGTCTTTGGAACACAAATTGGGAACCATTTTCATAGGTATTGGATCTAATGAATTGTGTTTCACACAAGGACTGGAGTCTATTCTTTTTTCTGCTGAAAAGAATTAAGCTTTTCATTCATCTGAGGATATCTACCTTTTAGCGAGGATGGGGAAGGTATTCTGAATGGGGATTAAACTGATAAGGCAAGTGGGCTGAAAGAAGGCTACAGGTAATCCTTGCTTAGTGATTGTTCGTTTAACAACAGTTCAGAGTTATGACAGCCTCAGAAAAAGTGATTTATGACCTGGACTCACATGACTGTCACAAACTCTCACACCACCTCCTGCAGTCACGTGATCGCAATATGAGACCTTTTTTACGATGGTTGTTAAGTGAATCGCTGTGTTCGTTAAGCAAATCACATGGTCATTAAGTGATACATGTGGTCATTAAGTGAATTGTGGCAAAAACGTCCATTGGGGAAACTGGATTCACTTAACGACTATGTGATTCACTTAACCACATGATTCGCTTAACGATCATCATAAAAATGATTGTAAAATTGGGTCCGGTCTTGTGACTTTTTTAACAACCGCCCTGCTTAACAGTTTTCCAGTCCCCACTGTGGTCATTAAGTGAGGACTACCTATACATGAGAAATCATGCCCTTTGCTATGACTGTAGCAGTCATACTCTGCAACTGAAGCAAGTGCACTGGGATGGTGGAAAGAGGTTAAATTCTTTAGAACCTCACACTCTGCATGGGCTTCTTCTGCTATAGAATCTTGGCAACTGCATTCCATCAGTTCTTTAGTATTTGAAAGTAGTGATTTGATTGGATGTACCTTCATTCAGAAGCACCTTCATTGTAGGAACTTAGAAGAGAGTTGAATGGCTGACATTTGATATGTAAGAACAGAAGGTGGAGGGTGGGTTGCATCTTGGACATTCTTACTATTTTTAATCAGTAATTCCCCCCCTCCTTTTTTTTTTTTTTTTTTTAGGATTTTATCAAAGAACTTCTAACTCGGATAAGAGGGATGAGGAAATTGAGCCCTCCTCAAAAGAAGAGTATATAAGTGAAAACAGAGCCCTCTTGAGAGAAGTGATCAATAAACTGGGACTATTAAATAGGACGTCTACTAGTTTGGTCATTATGAGCAATTTTCTCTTTTTTGGTTGAATTCTGACATTTTAAAGAATTCAACCCCTTCTGTTTAAGGCATTTTTTTTTAAGTGTCAGTTTATTTTATCACAAATAGCAACATTACGGATGCTGCTTTTACTACCTGCGGATGATCAAGATAGACGGGAAAACACCAATTTTAGAGTGACTTTCCCAGGCATTAATCCTGCCTGAATTCTACATAGAACTCCTAGGGAAATGCTGTTCCTTTACAACCAGTTTGATCATTTGTACACCAGACTCATGGATGTTAAGGTTCTTGTGCTTGTGTACATAAATTATCAAGTGAGTGTTACTATTGATTCACATCAGTGGAAAGGAAATGTGCTCTAAGTAACAATATAAACCGAAGTTATAACCAATGTGGTGTTGGGGGAGGGAAGGGGTGCAATTTGTTAAATGGGGGTGCTGCCACTGTTAAAGCATTGCAACAAATGCCACTGTTCATAAAGCAACACATAAGCAAACTGGGGTCCAAGGGCTTGATTTTTTAGGGTTTGAACTACATCTACCAACGTTGAGGCTCAGCCAGATAAGCTCTCTTCGTCTTATGATCTGGTAGGATTGATCAACCTACTGCTAAAGGATCTGATAGGACAGCAAGAAAAAGGCCAATACCATTATGAGAGAGTCTTGGGGGGGGGGAGAAAATGCAAGTCAATCCCCCCCCCTTCTTATAACAAGAATATCCAGTTACCTCTTCCTATTTTGACATCCAACTTGGTAGGTTGGCTGGCTGGCTTAGTGATTTCAGTTGTAGAGGTGAAAGCCTGTTCCCCAGACTCTTCAGGAAAACATTATTTGCTCAAATGCAGGGTTTCTCAACTGTAGCAATTTAATAACATGCTAGCTGGGGAATTCTGGGAGTTGAAGTCCACACGTTTTAAAATTGCCAAGGTTGAGAAACACTGCTGTAATGTTTCACAAGCTACCATCTGCTGGTAGATGCTAGTCTGGCATTTTATATCAAGGGTGCTCTGAACATAATTTTATTTTTTAAAAAGAAGAAATACATGTTTGTGGACTTTATGTATACTGGCAAGCTTTTTTAAATGTATTTAATTTTGTAATGTTTTATTAATGACTTTATTTACCAGATATTTACTCAAATAAATGCAACAAATTGAGGTGTTGTTATGTATATTGTAACTATTGATAGAAAACTGGAACATGAAATTGAAAAACTATTTATTTGGGTAGGCAACTAACAACCTCTTACACTCTGTGCACACTCATTGTTTCCTAAAGAGCTGGCATATATATGCCCTCAGGAAGGTATATTGAAGCAACAACTTTCCTCAGTTTTCAGAATTGTTATTTTTATTTAAATGATACAGCTATCTGAATGGCAAAATTCCCTGAAAAGGAGTGTGTTTCCCAAACACGTTATGTTATGTTTTATGTTTTAATATTAATTGTGAGTCACATAAAGATACGTAAAACCTTGTCCCCTCACTTGTGCCAACTCATATCCCATGTATTTCTCTAAAGTAAATGTGAAGATATGTTTTATTTCATCCCCTGCATTTTGTTTGATAATTTTACTGAAATGCTTTTAGAATCAAAGAATCATTTGGAATCATTTAATGGAAATGATTGGAGAAAAATAACACATTGCATCCTTTAGAAGGAAGAATGCTAGGTAGAATTTAAAAGATTACAAAAGAATTAGCTATCTAGATCAGCTGTAGAAGTGTTGTTTTGTGCCCTTGATTATTTTAATACTGAAATAATTACAGATGAAATTTTAGCAGATGTTCGTGACCTATAAATAGTAATTAGCATAATTACACTTCTTCTTACAAATACTCATTTGAGGTGGGAAGGAGGTGGCAATATTAGGGTCTGTCTGATCTAGAAGCTGAACTAAAATGTTCTTTCTGTGTTTAGATTGGTGTTTAGAAATGGTAGCAATTTGAGGAATGATTTGGCCGTTATGAGGTTTTATCCCAACTTCATAATCCCTGCACTGTTCTGTTCCTAAGACAAGAGACAAATCAGAAAGAAACTTTTCACGCTTGTTTTTTTTAAAAGGTGTAACAGTATTAATTATACCCCCATCCATTAAAGAAGTTCAGAATTTACTATAAAGAGCATCAGTTGAATGCAGGGCAGACCATATGCACTTTCACATTGCCACTCTGTGTTACAACTCCCCGGTCCCTTAAAAGTAGCTTGAAATAAGTCCATAGTAACCTTGATTTCTGTGGATGTCAAAACCCTGATGTATAGTGAAACAAACATGATAGATAGTGCAAACAAACATAATCCAAGATGAGCGCTGCCTCAGAGGAACAAAAATCCCCTCACCCCACTCCACACAAAAGGGGAGCAAAATGCTACCACCCCCAGGCCACATCTGTATTTTACCTTACGTGCATTGTCTGGTCACATGCAGTAATAATAATGAAAACTCTGGTCATTTGCTTAGAGGTAAATGGGGGGTGGATAACTTTCCATGAATGGAAGAATAAATTGCCCACAAATTCAACAAGGCTGTAGCAGTATAAAGGTTTTGCTCCAGTTTCAGATAAACTGGTGTAGAACCAGGAACAATAGCAAACAAAGTTGGTTTTTGAACAAAGCTGATGATGTGGAATTGCAGATGCAGAGCTGTTTTTGAACTGCCGCAGAACTCCATATGGAGGTGCTCTGTATCTTCAGTTATGCTCAGACAGGTGTGTTTCTTTGCTGTTTTTCTCATTAAAAATGAGAAAAAAACCTCATTAAAAAAAACCTTGAGCATGAAACTGAGCAAACTCAGGGAGGCAGTGAGGGACAGGAAGGCCTGGCGCGATATTGTTCATTGGGTCACGAAGAGTCGGACACGACTTAACGACAACAACAAAACCCTACAAATGGAGAAGTGATGATTGTGTATGTCTAGCAGAGAAGTTATTGCAAAGCTTTTTCTGTTGGCAATTTTTGGGCTCTAAAGTATATTCCTAAATGCTTCCCTCCAACATTTCAAGGACTCTTATAATTGTGTGTCAGGATAGACATACATCTGCATGAACACAGGACACAGTTTGGATTTGAGCACCATGGGACAGAAAGAAGATGCAACCTTTTTTCCCATGGCCTGTTTGCATAAGGAGCCTTTTCCAGAATCAGGACTTTTACTGCATGTTGCTCATAATGGGGAGCTTGATTCCTCATGGATCAGCTGCCTTCTACTAATTTGCTGAGTATGGGGAATGCTGTGGAGGCAAGAGATTTGGATCTTTGGAAAAACCTGTCATTCAGAACGGAAGGCATTTTCTTTTATCATTTGGCAGCAAAGTAGGAGCCTCAATGATCACCTCTGCCTTAGTCCAGGCTGGAAATGGCACATTCCTTTAGCTCCAGTCACAGATGTTCTAAGTAGAAATGGGGGGAGCTAAATTTTTATTATCGTGGTGATGGGCAATTTTCTTGCTTTTAAGGAGGGTTGAGGGGTTTTTTTTAGAAAAATAAAAGCCATACTGTCAGGGCAGCCTTCAAAATCAAGATGATGGCAACCTTCCTCATGTCAGAGTAACTTGAAAGCCCTTGTTGCCCGCTGTGCATAGGCAGAGAACACAAAACAAATGTTCAACAAGACTAATGGTTTTACTTCAATTATTTGAAACTTTGAATCACATCTATGGTGCAATATAAAAACCTCTATCCTTGGCTGAAAATCCATGCATAATGTCCTATTAGTTGCCAAGCACAAACCCAGTGAGGTGGCATGCTTTCAATTGCACAGTACTGTCATGACTAAAACCGCTTCCTCTTATGGAAAGTGTTACTGGAAAGATTAGCATCGCTATCTAGCCCCTCTCTCAGAAACTGGGAAGCAGCTAAAAAGCAGTGTCTGTTTCTTTCCCCTTCTGCAAGCATAAAACGGTTAGTGTTGTGGCTCGTACTCCTCCAGATTACGCATGCTGAAAATTCTTTTGCCTCTACAAAGTATCACATTGGATTTTAAATAATTTCTTGGCTGATTTCCTGCTCAAGTGGAAGGGGCTGGATTCTTCCCTTGAGCAACAGCGTAGCTCCAGAGTTCAGAGCTACTGTAAAATGGGAAGTGAATGGAGCAGAGATCTCATTGTAATTCACCTCTGTTATGCTGTGTGGGAGTCCTCTCTCACTGTGGGGTGACTTTTGAATAGCACACTGTTAACTAAAAAGGCATGGAAGTTGACTTCAAGCCAAGGAACTGGCATTGATGAAGACATGTTTGACTCCAAGTGTAATTTCATTTGCCTTCAGAAAATGAGAATGCCATTAAACTTAAACTTGGCTAGCAGTGAATATGCTCAGAAGGCAATTCTTATTCTCTCTCTCTCTTTCTCTCAGTAAGGCTAAAAGAGGAAAGATAGCACAAGCAGTTGAACCCATTTTGGTATTCAGTCTGAAGAATTCTGCCAGATGGGTCAGCTTTGGAGTGAGGCCAAAGTGATTACAGTTTTATAGTCACAGTAGTAATATGTGTTAATGTGAAAGTACTGGCATCTTCCTGGCCATTGGTCTTATTAGGTGTCTTATCACCTCCTAACTGGAGCAATGGGGACTTGTAGAGTTAGAGGCAGTCTCTAAGTTACCCTGAGTTGATTCTCCCTGTACAGAGATAATAGACTCAGCATCTACAGAACATCTGATTTTGATACATTCATTTCTAAGACTGTAATTGTCAATTCGAACCAATGTTGCTATGTCATGAGTATAGCCCAGGATGGGTCCAACTGCTGTGCTAACTCTGAAAGTGGCAGCGGGGCAGGAAAGACTGAAAGAAGGATAAGAGCAGAAGTAGCCTGTAGTCCCCAGGAGTTTATACCACACCTTTTCTGTTTGTCTTTAAGATGTCACAAAGAGTCTTTGCTTTTGCTGCAGGAGACAACCATGCATGGACTACCCCAGGGAAATGGTTGTAAAGGAAAGAAACACTTGGGATCTTCTATCCCAATATTTCTGAGCCTTGGCTACTTTAAGAAGTGTGGACTTCAGCTCCCAGAATTCCCCAGCCAGGGTTCTAGCCTACTGCTTCCCGCCTCCTTCCTTGGCTGCCTGATTATAGAAAGGGATCACAGATGCTCTATTCTAGTCTTTTGCTAATGCCAGCATTTGGCTTAGTGCCTTAATCCATGGCTGTTTAATGCATATTGCAGTGAACTGCACAAATTGTGCAAGCAGTTTGCATTTCCAAGAGTTCCAGCAGATCAGGCAAAGTATTTTCACTTTTGCAGTGTCAAAGGTATTTCTGTAGAGCAGGGGCACACAAACAAAGGGCTAGGGTTACAAAGGTCAAAGCTTTTAACAAGGGATTATCAATTTATAATTTATAATATATAAGGCGAGAAAGTGTGGAATATTTGTATTGATGGTATTTTATTTAAATTGATTGCCATTTACATTAAATCCACTTCTGTTTTTCTCTCAGTCCTGTCCAGTTGTGCAGCCTCTGGCACACCACCCAAGATCGGATTCAGTTCTTGGGGCAATAAGGGTTGCTTTGGAGAGACTGACGTTTGGTTGGAAGACAGCCAGATTAAGTGATTATAGTGACATAGCTTTGTTTATTGATGGAATTTTAATGTCTTCTTCCACTTGTAAGTTTCACCTGTTTTTCCTCCCATTTCTTCTAACTTTTTTCTTACCAGAAAAATTGAATCATTGGATTGTCATGTTGGACATTCTCCTTTGGAAATATCCTTTGTGACACCTGAATCTGGTTTAGTTCCTGTTGTTTAAAAACATTGGACATGCATCAGAATATAGAAGGCATTTCTACGCATAAGTTTTTCACATAGGAATTCAAACAGTATTAATTTTCAGAACTGTCAACTGTGTTATTCTCAACAGTGCTGCAGACTGAAGGCTCAGTGGAGCTTTCTCTCACTTGGGTTATCTTAACTGGACATGGGACATTGCTTAAGCAATTCTTCTTGATGCAAAAAAAAAAAAAAAAAGTCTAGCAAACTCTCAGAACAGCCTGAGGAGAGATTTATGATGCTTCCTATTGCTTCCTGTTTTTTATTAAACTGGAGAAGACTAACTCCAGACAGAATACACATTTATATAAGCTTCCAAGTTTCATGTCATGAAAATTACAAAGGACTTGCTTTAGGTTTCCATGTCAAAAGTTTATAGGACTGGAGAGTACTTAATGCCTGTATGATGTCTCGCTTTTTCCTATTGAGTGTTCTGTCTTTGTCTCAGCTTGATATTTGGAAGTGCCAATAGAATATTTGAAAGTAGATTGAATCAGATGCTTGTAAAGGCTGCTGCTGGGCTTTCTGACTTCTCTTTTCAATGATACCTTTGACCTCTTGTACAAATTTATAGAGTTGCTGGGAGTTGGGCAGCATATAACTTTAATAAATAATAATAATAATAATAATAATAATAATAATAATAATAATAATTATTATTATTATTATTATTAAATTTGATACCAAAAGGCTGATTTCCCATTTAAATTCTTGGAACCCTTGTACTTTACAAATGTAGATGAGTGATCTAATGACTTATAGAACTGTAACAAAAGGACATTTTCCCCTGTTTCAGTTGCTTAAAATTTGCAATATATACAAATATGCATGCTTTGCCCTCTGATTCTCACCATTTTGCTCCACTCATCCTTTGTTGCTATGTCAGAACTTCAACTGGCATCTGATTAAATCAAAGGAATGGCTTCACTCTCCTGTGTGAATTTTGTTACCAGGATGCTAGATAATAAAAGCCAGATTTCTTTTGAGGAGGAAGGCGAAGGCTATGGCCATTAACACCAGAGTGTCTTTTTTGCCAGCAGGACTTTGAGGCTCAGTTATAATATCTTGAGTTACAAAAACTGCAAAAGAAAATACGTGAAACCTGGGTCAATAACAAAAATCAAGGGATCTATATTTGTTGCAAAGTTCAAGGAAAGAAATATTGCTTTTCAATTCTGTTTGAATTTCATCACAAGTACAGGGCAATAAATTGGATTTATTCGAAGCTAGAATGCTGATGTGAACTTAGTACAGAAAGGAAATGAGTGCCACAAAGCCCATCAGAACCTTTATTATTTCTGGGCACGTCAGCATTTTCTTGGAACATTTTTGCCTGCAAAGAAGGAGTATGCAATTTATTTAGTTATGTTTACAAAAATTTCCTTACTGTTCTCTCCAAACAGTTCTGGGTGATGTAGCATATAAAACACCTATCCCTTCCTAACTAACTATAGACTTTCCCAAAAGGAACAACCTCATCACACACACACACGTGCAAAAATAAACACCAAATTTATAACTGACAATGGTTGCCCAGTCACCTTCAGGCCTAAATGTCAAATACCCAGTTAAAAAGGGTCTTCAGTGCCTTCCTAAATGCCAAAAGCAAAGTGGCCAAACTCACCTTCGGGGAAAGGATATTCCATAGTGTTGGGGGCAGTGTATTCCACAAATCCTGCTTTCTAGCCAAGCCCCTGTCACCTTCATCTCACAGGATCGGCCAGATCATTTTTGATAAGGTGGTCACTAATGCTGCTCAGTGTCCACCAGAGCAGACATGATAGATAGTATGTGAAGTGGACCGTGAAGCTTACTGGCAACCAAGGCAGGGTTCCAGAATGGTCACTGCATTCTGTACCAGTTGTAGCTTCTGAGTTGTTTCCAAAGGCAGTCCCACATACAGTATGTTGCAGTAATCAAGGTTTGTGAAGATAAGTCACCATTGCCAAGGCTTCCTGGTCCAGACAGGGCTATGAATGCAATTAGGAAT